GAAGATCATTGACGTTTGACTGACTCAAGTGACCATTGTCAGTCACGAGTCACGATCTGACTCAAAACAGCGGCTTTCCTTTTTGCCGCATGTACAGATAAGCTGTTGAAGCGGGAGGAGTGGCGTTGCATTGAGCATGGGCTCGAAGATGTGTTCCGTAAGTCTTGCGCTGCCACCCTTCCTTCTTTGCCCCACAATTTTGCAACGCTCGCAGTCACCCCTTTGCTGGCGGCTGTGAGGTACAGATGTCGGTGCTTTGAGTGCAGGTCTTTTCCGCCTGGTGCAATTGCACAACTAGTTTTCCCAGAGCCCTGTACATGCTGTCCGTGCAAAGCAGCCTCAAAGGCTGTGACATGAAAATGCCTTTGCCCTGGCACCGCTTGGCACCGCCAGATCTTTCAGACTTGAACGGCAAGATGTGACAAAGACAATGCCACGCATGCGGACAGTTGGTTTCATTAGTCAATCATGGCCAATTTTGCTTTACAGATCTCAATTTGTACGAGGAGGCACCACTGACACGATTTGCAGGACAAGTGTTTGTGCAAACCGCAACAACCGAAACCTCACCAACACAACAGAACGGAGCAAACACATTTGTTCATACACAATTACGAGCTACAGAAACACACACACACACACACAGAAAGCAAAGGCGACAGCGCAACACGGGTATGGGTCAAAATTAAAAGAGGGAACCGCGGGGTTTAGTCCTTGTTTCCATTAGGGTTTCATTTTGGATACATATTTTTTTGACCCACACCCAATACAGAGAGTTACTTCTTCTGCTTCCTACGTCGCCGAGAGTCACTTGCGGGTGGCTCCGCGATTTCGCAGGAGCCCTACTGGCATGCGTCGGTGGGGAAGAATGCGGCCCACGCACAGGCGGAAGAGCAGATCCTGGTGAATGTGGACGGGGACAACATGATTGGCGCAGGCCCGGCGATTGTTGGGACACATCTTATCCATTTTTGCTGGTTGTTTTAGTGGGAAGTCCCACTGAACTGCTACAGTTGATTTTTTGTTTTGCTCCCCTGCCAACGTCACTGGGGTTATGCGGGGTCCCTGCACGGATACATGTCGGCCGGTCCAAAAATCACCTTCACCAGCTGATGTGGATCCACCGGGGTTGATTGATATTCCTGGCCCAAATGACCATGGGTAGCTTTTCCTGTTTCGTGGGAAGAATCGAATCTTTTTCGTGGCTTTCCACCAAAGGTCATCCCATGTTTTACAGAGATCATCCCCCCAACTGTTTAGTAGAGTCGATGTGTTCCATTCGCGGGCAATCGGTCCATTCCTTGGTCACCTGGTCTCGCTTTTGGACAACCCCCTGCTCCCACAAGCTGACAGGTAAAATGCTGGAGATTGGCGCCTTGAGAAGGGAAGCTATTATGAAACTGCACTTGTTAAGATGAAATGGTAAGCAGTTGGCTTGGTTTCGAAACGTGTCCTTACGTTTCGAAACGTGGCCTTGCGTTTCGGTGCCGGGTTCCTTACAAGTTCAAACTGGCGCCCTGCCTTCTTTTGGTTTGGAGTCTCGGGCTTTTCAAGAAATGGTGCCTTAAAAGCCGCGGCCTTTGTTGCCTTGGTGAATGAGCGATCCTTTGTGTCAACCTGCTTTATATAGTCTGAAGCTCCACAAAGCCACCAGAAACCACCAGAAAGAAGGTTCCTTCAGAAAAAGTCCACCCGTCATTCACCCTTGGCTTGTATCGACTTTCCTGTGACTTTCCAGCTAGGTGTCCTCTTTTTGGTACAAGGCACCGGCTGCTTTCCCATCACTTTCTACTAGGCGACGAATTTCCGTCGATTGGGGGCAGCTCCTCCCCTCCCTTGGCTGAATGGGCCTATGCTGTCGCATGGTGGACTCTCAGTTTTCATGGTTGGTGTTGGGAAACCTTTTCTCCATTTTTGCTTATTGTGGTTTCGTGGTTGAGAAAATTGAGAAATCACAATAAGCAAAATCAACGAAACCTTTTCTCCATTTTGGTTGAAATATCCTATCCAAATCCACTAACTGCTAAGATTTGAAAATTTGTTGCTCCCCTAACCCACTTTTCAACCAAGTAGGTTGCCACTGTCCCTGCGACTCAATGAGCTGAGGGAACGTGCGTGCGAAACCTCCGGGCGTGGTTGTCCTGACATCTTCCCGTGTTGAGCCTTTTGGTCGCGCTGACTTTGGCAACGGGGTTCAACCATAGGTGCCCTTTTTAGGTTAGTTTAGTTAAAAATAGATGGCACTGGTTTAGATAGGCTTTTGTTCCATTTGTCATGGCTATCTATTTTTCCAAAGGCCACCTATGCGTTCAACACTTTTTTCTTCCCAACAGATCCGAGACGACTCGGGCGACGCGTTTTGGTCGAGGCTTCCTGAGGAACGTCTGCGACAAGTTCGCGGCCGGGGACTGTGCAGTGGCGCAGCGGCTTGGAATCACCTCCAGTGAGTGGTAGGAGTGGTAAGGGTGGTAGGGGTGGCAAAAAGGGTGGTAGGGGTGGGAAAAAAGGTGGTAGGCGTGGTAGGCGTGGTAGGGGTGGTAGGTAGGGGTGGTAGTGGTGGTGGTTTGGTAGGGGTGTTGCAATTTACTGGTGGTTTCCGTTGAAACGAGAACGCCGCTGTTGGAGGCAACCCAAAAACCGGAAATGGCTCGGAACCCCTACCCACCCCCTACCCACCCCTTACCCACCCCCTACCCCTACCCACCCCCTACCCGCTACCCACCCCCTACCCACCCCCTACCCACCCCCTACCCACCTCCCCACCCCCTACCCACCCCCGACTACCCACCCCCTACCCACCCCCGACTACCCACCCCCTACCCACCCCCGACTACGCACCCCCTACCCACAGCCCCTACCCACCCCCTACCCACACCCCCTACCCAGCCACCCACCCTACCCGCTACTCACCCTCTACCCTCCCAAGAATCAAACACCTGTGATGAGTCAACAAGCAATGGCTTCCTACCCCCTACCTACCCCCTACCTACCCCCTACCTACCCCCTACCTTCCCCCTACCTACCCCCTACCTACCTCCTCCACCTACCTGCCCGCACCCCGATGATTCTCAACGCAAGTACGTTTCCTAACCCCTATGTACCCCCTACCTACCTACCTACCCCCACCCGACCATGGTTTCCTACCACACCCTACCTACATACCTACCCCTACCCCGATGATTCCCCAACGTAAATTTCCTACCCCCTACCTACCTACTTCCTACCTACCTACCCCCTACCTACCTACCCCCTACCTGCCCCCTACCCACCCCCTACCCACACCCCCTACCTACCTCCGTACCTACCTAACAACCCCTGCCTACCCCCTCTCTACCTACCCCCTACCTACCCCCTACCTACCCCCTACCTACCCCCTACCTACCCCCTACCTACCCCCTACCTACCCCCTACCTACCCCCTACCTACCCCCTACCTACCCCCTACCTACCCCCTACCTACCCCCTACCTACCCCCCTACCTACCCCCTACCTACCCCCTACCTACCCCCTACAACCTACCTACCCCGTACCTACCCCCTACCTACCCCCTACCTCCTACCTACCCCCAAGGCACGTGCCAGTCGCAGCATCAGCGCAGACAAACGGGGGAAAGGCGACCACATGCGCAGATTCATGGGTCAATGCAGAGTCCGGGCTGGGCACTGTTGCTTCCGCCGCCGTCATATCCTTTGGCCACGAGCTCTGGGGACCCAAGTCCGAGGCACTCACTTCACTTCACTCACTCACTCACTCGCTCGCTCGCTCGCTCCCTCTCTCACTCACTCACTCACTCACTCACTCACTCACTCACTCTCACTCTCACTCTCACTCTCACTCACACTCACACTCACACTCACACTCACACTCACACTCACACTCACACTCACACTCACACTCTCACACTCTCACACTCTCACACTCTCACACTCTCACACTCTCACACTCTCACACTCTCACACTCTCACACTCTCACTCACTCACTCACTCACTCACCACTCACTCATTCACTCACTCACTCACTCACTCACTCTCACCACTCACTCACTCACTCACTCACCACTCACTCACTCACTCACTCACTCACTCACTCACTCACTCACTCACTCACTCACTCACTCACTCTCAACTCACTCAGCGTCACTCACTCCCACACTCACTCCCACACTCACTCCCTCCTCCCTCTCCCTCTCCCTCCCCTCCTCTCTCCCCTCCCACTCCTCACCCACCTCGCTCGCACTCACTCACTCACTCCTCACTCCTCACCCTCACTCCCTCACTCCCTCCCTCCCCCTCACCCACTCTCTCTCTCTCTCTCTCTCTCTCTCTCTCTCTCTCTCTCTCTCTCTCTCTCTCTCTCTCTCTCTCTCTCTCTCTCTCTCTCTCTTTTCTGTCTCTCTCTCTCTCTCTCTCTCTCTCTCTCTCTCTCTCTCTCTCTCTCTCTCGTTCTCGCGCTATGTCTCTGTCTCGCTCTCTCGCTCTCTCAACTTTTTGCTCCACGCACTCACTCGACCCACGCACCATAAGGGTACAAGTGTAAGAAAGAGACGATGCCACTCAGGTGTGTGGAGGTATATAGATATATATGAGAGAGTACCCATAATCTATACTGCGTGATTTCTTCCAATGGGCAGACACGTATAAGTAGAGAAGGACAGAAGTGTAAGAAAGAGACGATGATGCTCAGTGCTCCGTGGTTGAAATGAGGTTTGGAAGCAATTCCTGCCCAGGAATCAAGTTTGAAGCTCCAAAGGATGGCCAGATTGTTGACTTGGATTTCAAGGTCAGCGCAGGAGGATACCTTGATGCGGTTCGATACCTTGAATGCGTTGTGTGATGCTTTTCCAAGACACAGCCTTGTCGCTCGGTCCCTCGCTCGCCCACCCACTCACTTGCTCGCTCGCTGCAAACCTGTTCGCGCGAAATGTGTGTGTGCATCAAGGCAGCGCAGAGAAGCGCAGGCAGCCCGTCGCGTGCAGGCGTGGTGGAGGCGTCTCCAGCCCTGCTTCAGCCCTCAGAAACACCCTTGCATGCGTAGGCCTTCTTAGACAAAATTCTACGATCTCTGAGAAACACGCCACGGGGTCGGAAAGTTGCCCAACGGCACGGCAGTGCAAGGTTTTTGCTAGGCTTGAGTCGCGTGGCAGGCGCGGCAGGCGCAGCGTTGTGTTCTCATGGGCTTCAAGAATTCTTTGTGAAGGTGAGTTGCGCGGTTCCTGAATTGCGTTGGGGTGGACGCGCGAACTGCTGCGTGCCGATTTTGTGGCAGGCGCCTGATTGTCGGACGCAAGGTGCAGATTTCATGGCAGGTGCAGCACTGTTGCAAGGTCAAGTGCATTTTTCGTGGCAGGCGGCTGAGTACGGATTACGTGGCAGGCGCAGCACTTTCCGGCTCTGCCGATATGTCGGCAGGAGGCTGTGTGGCTTCCTGTGCATCGGCGTTGTGAGGTCCTGGCTTTTCCTCTAACCTTATCGTCCTTGCCTGAATCCTTCCCTCTTGTTGCCAAGGTTGTGGCTTGCTTTTCTTACCTCAGTTTGCTTGATGGTTTCCTGAACAGTTGAACGCGGCCTCTTCGGCGCTTGCCCTTGCCTTTTCTGGCTCTTCGCCCCTTGCCAAACTAGAGAGTCTGACGTTGAATTTTTTGAGAACAAACAAGCATCATGGTCCTCCATTTGCCAAAGCGCTTCTTCATCGTCTACAGGACAAAAGCCTTCGGCATCCTGCTTCTGCCTCAGAGGCCTTGGACTTCCGCCGCCTGAACGCATTTTGGATCCTGCAAGGAGGGGTCTTGATTGTCTTGTAGGTCAAGCTGGATGCCTCTGAGGGTTAATGAAGACGCCAATCGTTTTCGTTGGACGGCTCCTTGCGGATTATTTCTCACTATGCTCATCGCGCATCCTCTAATTTGCGTCATTGATGGCCTGAATATATTCAGGGCCACTTGGAGGCCGCGAAGAAAAACAATCCAAATCGAGCTTACCGTTCGCCTGCGGTGGAGTGTTGAATTCGAACCGAGGGACGGTCCAGGTAAGACCGTTGGGTACAATAACTAATTCCCCTTGATTCAACCTTGCGCTTTGTTTGAGGTCCGTTGAGATCCAAACTGGGGCTCTTCTGCTAGTTGCGAGCTTTGGCTAGCCCGATCCTTCCCCAACGTAACTACCAACAAACAACCCAAAGTAAATACCAACAAATAATGGTTCTCTACCCCTTACCTCCCCCACCCACAATGGTTACCACCCCCAGCCGATGATTCCAACGTAAATACCAACAATGGTTTCCCACCCCCCACCCCTACACCCTACCCTCTACACCGCCCCCAACCTAAATACCCCCTACCCTTTACCCGGATCAAACAAACGATTCCCAAATACAAACAAACAATGGCTGCCTTCCCCGAACCTACCCCGCCGTGATGATTCCCCAACGTAAATACCATCCATGGTTTCCTACCCCCTACCCCAACCATCGTTGCCATTTGGCTCAAGGGTGCTATTTTCAGGTAGGTAGCTTGCGGGAAGAGAGCCGGTCCGAGGATACGAGCCCTCGCCCTCTTGCCGAGGGACAACGCGCCCTGGTATCAAGTGAACCTCTCGGATTGTCACAAAAGGCATTCTCACATCTGGGTGCGATACCATTTCCAGCTGAAGAAGGACTGTCTCTGCTTCACCACAACAAGGGAAAGACTGTGCATCCTGAGTTATATCATCCTATACGCCCTGGCACTTGGACTCTGGACGTTGTTCGGTGAGATGCGACCGAAGAAGTCATGGGAGACGCCATCGAGGCGGTGCTCGGATGGTGTACGGCGGTGATGGAACCTCGAATGGGGGGCGTTATACTTCATGGTCTCGAACATTCTCTCTCCGTATCGGTACAGCATGCCACCCAGCAACCGCAAAGACACCAAGTCAAGGCCATGCTCATTCAGGGGGCAAGACTTTGGAGTCATGGAGTGGTTTGCAAAGCTGCCGGAGCCCGCATTTCAATTCCCTTCTGAGGGTGACGAAGGAGGAATGAATGTATTGTGGCTCGCTCATTGACAAGGTGCCGGTATTGGGGAAAACCGAACAGGATCACACACGTTCTCATGGAGGAAGTGGAGGGATCTGAGGGCATGTCCCCTGATCCCAACTACGGCGCGTCGCCTGAATTCCATTGGCAAGGTGGGGGGGATGCCCCTTCACCCGAACGGCTGGATTCCGACGAGGCAAGCGGTGACAAAGACGTCGAAGGAGACGGAACCGCAGGCATTGACCCGCAGGAAGCGAAAGCTCGCTGAGTGCGCCGATGGCACCCTATCCACTGACGACTGCCCCGTATGGCACACCAAAGATCACAAGCTCGTGAACGAATCCGGAGGCAAAGACAATGGTTCGACTGCTGAAGGATTTTGCGGATGGGGAGAAGAAGGTCCCGTCTGATGACAGCAAGAAGGCATCGTCGTCCTCGGCAAGTGGTGGCGAATCGAAGGAGAAGGCAAAAGAGACGGGACCAACGCCCAAGCGGTGGGAGAGGTCGAAGGCTGCTCCCAAACCTGAGCTCGTGCGCATGACCCGGTGAGGCCGAACCCGATCATGATGAAGGAAATGGTTAAGACCCTCGATTGGCACGCATGACAGGACCTGTCTCGGAAACTCTGCGGAGGAGGGCCCAGAGAGCCACAACGATTATTGCGATGTCATTCATCACAAGCTGGAACAGTCATCTGCTGAGGTGAAGAAGGACGGCAACTCCATGTTTTACGGTGTTCTGACGGAAGGTCTCCCGGAGTACGCGAAACTCTGCAGTGCATTTTGCCGCCGGATCAAGCCGAGTTCGGGATCCATCATGACTATGGAACTGGGCAAAGGCGATTCCAGAACTTCATGAGGGAGATGGGACAACCGCAGATCAACGCCCCAGGGAATTGATCAAGTATTTGCGGCACAGAGTTGGCAGGACCATCATTCGCGAAGATGATCGTGGGAGGAGGCGACTGCAATGTGACGATGCGGGATGGGCCAAGTTTTCCAAACTGCTCGGTTGCAATCACATTATGAGCACCTCAATGACGATCGTTCCAGATTTGTTGAAGGGATTGCGGCAATTTGTGTGGAGATGCTGCGGGAGGAGGTCCGACGCCGCTCTACTTCCAGGTATTCGATTATTGGAGGGTGGAACCAGAAGACCAGGGCCGATTTGGAGAGGAATACAGGCTGGGCAATGCGGCTAGACTGGATCTTCGATTACTGCTTTGGATTGTATGCTTCGGCTGCGCTGCATACAGCCACACTCCCTTCGTATACCAGAACGTGGCCAAACACCTAGTGGCCGATTGACGAGGGTTTCGCGGAACACACCACAGTTTTTCGGTCCTGAAGATCTTCCGCACACGTACCACCACACGACGATCGAGGAATACGTCGAGATGAAAGGCGTCATCCACTTGATGGGACATGATTGGAAAAGATGATCTTTGTCAAGGAGCTGAAAGATGGCGCCATTCAGACGCACAAAAGCCCCAAATTGCGTGCTGCGAGGAACAATGCGCTGGACAAACTGTTCGAGGTCTTCAACATTGTCATCGGAACCAGCTTTAGCGTGGACACTTATTCCTTCTTCCAATCCAACATCGAAGGAATGAAAGGTGGCAAATTTATCCCGTTCGACTGGATGTGCGCGGCGGTGGGAGACAAAGCGACCACCCAAGATTTGCTATTGATGAGCTACCACGGGATGCATTTCAGTCCTATTCTTCGTACACAATGGGAGAATTACAACAGACTGAAATCCCAGGGACTGAGCATTCAGACCCGGATCCCATTGGCAGATGGGGAGGCCACGATTCTACCGAATTGCGGTGAGAAACAACAGAAGAGCAAGTTCGAGGCGGCCGAAACCCGAGGGTATCTCGACCCTCTTCGGGGGAGTGAAAGAAGACTGGTGAACGGTCGGGGCAACCCCGGTCCATCAGCCCGGCCTCATGCCAAGCCTTCATCCGGATCCTCCAGCAAAGGCAAGGGGAAGAGTGACAAGGGCAAGCAAAAGGAAGAGCGAGGAAGCGAAGGGTAAGGGATATCCATACCCATGGCGTCGGGTTACTACGGTGGGTGGGATGAGCGCTGGTGAGCCGAAAGTACCATGGGAAATCGGTACCGCTTGTTGGGCCGAGAGTACCGATGCGCGCAATGTCTCACCCTACTCGTATCTCACATAGGGCACGCCGATGGGGGATCTTTCCATCTGTGAGAACCCAAGTTTAAGGCGTAGACTGGCTGGGGTTTTTCGGCTGAGTGGGCGAAGAGCTGATTCGCCACTCTTCTGCACCGACAACCGGGTTAGGTGTTTGCTCTGGGATACGAGGGCCGCCAATGGTATTGTGTCTTCATGTGAGGATTATAATGATGCGAATTCGCCCAACTTTTCGGGCATTTCCTGTACAAATACCCTTGCGAAGATTCTTGGGCACGTTTACGGGGAAAGCGCTACCGTTTAACGGTTACTCAGTGCTGGCCATATCAATCCGCCAGGATTCGTGTACTGCAGAATTAAAGTGAGTTTTGTAATGTCTCACGACATAAAGTCCTGCAAGATAAAACATCTGAGCCGGCAAATCGATGGGTTGCAAAGCAAGGCTCCCACAATAGAAATTGCTCCCACAATTTGAACACCTGCGCAGATGCCTCAGAATGAGGCATATTGCGTGGGGGCTGTGAATAGAACAGGGGCCATCACTGCATGCAACCTACAACCATCCTTGCCAGGGCGTGCTATTTTCACAATCGTCATTGTGAATCGTAGATGCAACATGTAAAGATCGAGCTTGCGGGAAGAGAGCCCTCTTTCCGAGGGATCCGTTTCCCACCCCTACCCCCCATCCCGATCATTCCCCAACGTAAATACCAACAAGCAATGTCCCCCCACAAACAATTCTCAAATACAAACAAACAATGGCTGCCTTCTCCCAACCTACCCCCAACCCGGATGATTCCCCAACGTAAATACCAACAATGGGTTCCCGGCCCCCCTAGCCTAGCCTCTACACCCTCCCCAACCTAAACACCAACAATGGTTTCCCTGAACAAAACCTGAAAGTCGACCGAGGTACGAGCTGGGCCAGGGCACCTGCGGCCGCATCGCCTTGCGCCGGGACACCTTCTGGGAGCTTGGCGGCTACGACGAGGCGAACGGGGGGTGGGGGGGGGGGTCGAATGTAGCCCTTTCCTTTTGGTAGCTTTTCAGGGGAATTCTCCCCCCCAAATATATATATATATATAAACAAATACAATAAAGTATTTTGGTGGTGTTCCTTTTTGGTTGTTCTCTGAACCAGCCACAAAACATGGGTAGCCTCAAAGAAAGACACGCCCGGATAGGTGTGAATTGTGAGGTGCCCTTGTGCAGCTTGCTTCCCTATAGGGGAGGCCAATAGGAAAACCCAACTTCTTTTGGGAGGTCCCCCGGTTTTGACACGCGCCCGAATTTTCCTGTTTGGGCCAAATAAGGCTGCTGTAAGATTTATCGCCGCTTGTTGCATGGTAACTCCCAATAGGCCAAACAATGCCCCGGCACGGTTGTTGTTTGTGATGGTTTCGAAGTCCCCACAACCCCCTTCTATTTACTGAGGCGCTTAGGGAATGACATGAGGATCTCCTTTGGTATCCTTGACATTTTAAGATTCACATGTTTTTGTTGAGCATAAGCTCACGCCGAAAGGTCTTGACACCCTCATTTGCGTTGCCAAACTCTTAGGCTCAAAGGTCTCTGGTTGTCAAGGGTCCCCCAAAGGACCCCCGGAGCTCTCATTTGCCACGGCCCCTTTCACAGGCCAAGCCAAGAAAAGCCAAGCCGCGGCCGCCAACGGCCTTCACGCTTCGCATCCGTGAGGACGCCTATCCCATGGGCTGCCAAGACACGGACCTGGTCTTGCGGGTGAAGATGCTGAACCGCGGCAGGCCGAACCCAGCGGCCGAACCCAGCGGGCGGCTTTGGTTGGCGGAGGGCTTGGGCCTTGGGTTGGGTGAAAAACCGGGGGGGACAGGTCAGGAAAACGAAACCAGGCTCACACTGCCATAGACTCTTGGGTGATTTTAAGCAGTATGGCCAATGTCGGGGGAGCCTCTTTCTTTAAGGAGAAGCTGTTGTTTTTGGTTCCACACCTTGGATGTTAGTGCAGAGTTGCCATGTTTTGATCCCATCGGCTTCCGCCCAGGCTTCCCTTTTGAGGTACTCAAACGCTGGAATACGATCAGACCGATTTCTATGTGGCGAGCGATTCCACCGATTCGGGCGAGCGACATCCATGCAGGTCCCAAAAGGGTGTTCCTTATCTCACGTGAGATGATTGCAAGGGAAAACAGCAAAATGAAGGGTGGGCGGTGCCTTGCCACAACTGCGGCAAGGAGCCCTGTTGATTCTCTAGCCCATGAGTTTTGGCTAGACCTTTTTAAGCTGCCAGCTTTTGATTGACTCACCGGAGTGCATCTTATGGGGGCCATGAAAGTTGGGTACACCCCAAGAAAAGGGCGCGGTTTTGAGTCTGACTCGCTTGGGCCCGACATTTTTGTCGGTGAAGGGAAATCAGCGAGCCGTTGCGGTTTTGAGATCGTTTGTCGAATATGGACCCCCTGACGTGCCGGGCTCACTGATTGACTGTTTCCTGCGAAGGTCCCTGAATTCCTGAGTCCCCATTGGGTTCTCCCAACTGGTTCTCCCACCTTTGCACTTGGGGTTGTTTGTCTTTTTGAGTGTGGTCCCCCACTGACCCCAAGGGGCCGGGGAACCCGGACGCCAGGCACGTGAAGGTGCGGGACCCAACCTTCTCGCAGGCCATCAGCAACACCCAGGAGCGAGACATCGGGCCCAGGGCAACCCCCGCTGGCAGAACAGGGGACCCGGGGACCGTGCACATGTTTTGTATGGTTGCAGCCGTGCACCGTGTATGTTGCAGCATGCTTAAAAACAACAACACACAGATAAAGAACTACACAAACAAATGTTGGTTTTGAGGGGGAGCCTGCGGAACAGCACAGAAACCTGTAGGATACCAAGAAAACCCAAAAACAAACAAAACAAGAACACAAGCACACACACACAAGTAAATAAGCAAGCGCAAAAAACACACACACACACACACACACACACACACACACACACACACACACACACACACACACACACACACACACACACACACACACACACACACACACACACACACACACACACACACACACACACACACACACACACCCCAACACACACACACACACACACACACACACACACACACACACACACACACACACACACACACACACACACACACACACACACACACACACACACACACACACACACACACACACACACACACACACACACACACACACACACACACACACACACACACACACACACACACACACACACACACACACACACACACACACACACACACACACACACACACACACACACACACACACACACACACACACACACACACACACACACACACACACACACACACACACACACACACACACACACACACACACACACACACACACACACACACACACACACACACACACACACACACACACACACACACACACACACACACACACACACACACACCACACACACACACACCACACACACACACACACACACAACACACACAACACACACACACACACACACACACACACACACACACACACACACACACACACACACACACACACACACACACACACACACACACACACCACACACACACACACACACACACACACACACACACACACACACACACACACACACACACACACACACACACACACACACACACACACACACACACACACACACACACACACACACACACACACACACACACACACACACACACACACACACACACACACACACACACACACACACACACACACACACACACACACACACACACACACACACACGCACGCACGCACGCACGCACGCACGCACACACGCACGCACGCACGCACGCACGCACGCACGCACGCACGCACGCACGCACGCACGCACGCACGCACGCACGCACGCACGCACGCACGCACGCACGCACGCACGCACGCACACACACACAGAGAAGCACCCAAGTCCAGCAGCTGCCGCCCTTCAGCGAAGAGCGGAGGGTGTTTCTTCGCTTCGTCGTTTTTGTTGCATGTTTGTTTGTTGGGTTTCTTGGTCTGCAGGTTTTCCCGTGTTCCGCAGGCTTTGCCCCGAGTCTTTTCTGGGCAAGGGTCAACAAGAATCGAAGTAGGGGGTTGCAAGAAAGGGGGAGGGGGTCAAGCTAAAAAAACTGGAAGGGTCAAAAAGAAAAGGAAAGAAAGGAATGGGGCATCACAAAAAAAAGGACTTGGGGGGGGGGGGTTAAAAAAGGATGGCGTCCCCCATTTCTTCGAGCTCCTCGTCGTCGTTTTTTTTTCTCCCCTCGAACCCCATGGTCGAAGTGGCACTGGCAGTGCCATTCGAGTTCGATCGTGTGGTTGCCCTTCCATAGGCCCTGAACTCGTGACAGCCCTTCTGCTCGGGACGTCTGCTGTTCTGTTTTGCTACCTTTGTTTCAGATGGAGAGAGCCTGAGGTCGAAGCAGGCAGAAATCACATGACTGGTGCTCCAGAAAAATGCGTGGCTGCCCCAAACACATGCCACGAGAGCCCCTGAAAGTTTCACCTGGGCGCTTCCTGAGCCCAATTCGGAAGCGCAGTTTCCAGCGTTCCCTGAAACACGGTATGTGAAAACAAAAGGGGGCAGCCGCTGGTCAGGGAAGGAAGGGATTCGTGAAGCTGTGCCATGCCTGAGACAATGTTTCACAAAAGCGGGCATCGTCAACAGTAGATCTTCTCAAACTTGTCACATATCGGGCGCAGCGGACTGTTGGTGTGGGGGATTTGTTTGCCGATTTGGAGAATCATTGAATAAAAGGGTCGTAGCCCCTCCCTAACAACAACCCATTCCAGACCTTGCAGGAAGATAGAACCCTGCAGGAACCCTTTCCGGGCATCTCAGAAACTTTCCCGCAGAAACTGGTGCAGAGACTTTTGTCAGTAACCGTCTCTGGACCCTTTCAGTAGCCTGTTGAGGATGCCCGAAGCCCTCTCAGGAACTTTCCAGGTTTTTTTTCCCAGGACACTCAAAAGAAAGCCTTCCACAAACCCTTGCAAAGACTGTTAGGGAAGTGTGTCAGATCGTAGGAACCGTTTCAGACAATATCTTTGTCAGCAAACGTCCAGGCCACCGACAGGCCCTTCCAGAAACCATTGCAGGAACTTTGATGTAACCCTTGCACAGGGATCCAAGTGATATTTCTGAAATTCACGGATGTTCTCGGGGCCAGGGTGTGTGTTTCAATCCACCAAGGTTTCCGGAAACATCCTTGCAAAGTATCCGACTCGACCCTGCCGGGGTCGCTGACCCTCGTCGGCTCGGGGTGCCCGGCCCGACCGGCGCCCCAAATTGCCGCACCATGTAGGGTCTACAAGGTTTTTCCAAGATCATGGTTGGGGTTCAAACAAATGTGTTGAACATGATTGACCGTTGAAGAGTAAATCATTGGTAAGTTTCGGTGAGGCAGTTATTGAAGGCAAACAACAGGTGTTTGAATACAACATGTACACACCCAGTTGTCAATCCTTGCTTGCTTGCCTCCCTCCCTCCCTTCCTTCCTCCCTCCCTCCCTCCCTCCCTCCTCCCTTCCTTCCTTCCCTTCCTTCCTTCCTTCCTTCCTTCCCTCATTCCCTCCTTCCCTCCTTCCCTCCTTCCCTCCTTCCCTCCTTCCCTCCTTCCCTCCTTCCCTCCTTCCCTCCTTCCCTCCTTCCCTCCTTCCCTCCTTCCCTCCTTCCCTCCCTCCCTCCCTCCCTCCCTCCTTCCCCCCTCCTCCTCCCTCCCTCCCTCCCTCCCTCCCTCCCTCCCTCCCTCCCTCCCTCCCTCCTTCCCTCAATGTATAAAACCCCCATGCACCTCACCGGTATTTGCTGTGAATTTGAGCATGTCCTTCCCCAAATTCTAGCTTGGAAATATATATTATACTATGTCCATATGCAGGACACACTTGAATGCGATTTTATAGGTGCCTAGGCCGAATATGTGTTAGCTACGTATTTGGTGAGCTCTGATCTGGTTTATCGTTTGTGAACAGGATTGCTCACAGAGATGTTTTGCTTTTTGACCTTTGCTTGACGCAGCGTATGGACACTTGTCTCTTTTTATGGCACCAATCAAGAACTTCATTGAACTAGCTAAGTCTGACGAACTAAACTAGTCAAGCGTTTACTCGCAAAGTAAATCCACACACAAAACAATCCATGAGATGGAATCATAGACGCTCACAGTCCCCCTCCCTTTCCCAAACTGGGGGGGGAAGCGACCAAGGGGGTTCGTGTTTTACCAGAAGGATTCCATGCAGCCAACAGTTGCGGGGGTGCTGGCCCCTTCTTTTTTGGCGCCTATCTTGGTCGTCAGACGCTGAAATCGAATCGAGGTGTCTGGTTGGCAGGAGCAGAAGATTGAGAACTGCGACCCACAACTGGGATTCAAGAAGTGGGGCCAGATGAACGCCGCCCGGAAGCAGACCCGCCGTGTTTTGTTTGAGGGCACCTCTTTTTGGGGTTATTGCGGGAAACCAAAAGGTACCCACTCCTCTTGGGGGCTCCCTGTTCACACAAACCTACCGAGCCCCTGCCCAATGCTTGCTTGGATTCCCGGAGACTTCGCCTGTCTGAGTTCAGCTGATCTCTGTTTTCGGGGGGCGGGAGGAATGCGAATGGGTTTCCGTGTTTCGAGTGTTGACGTACCTCTTCAACCCACCTTCCCGCAAAGGCCGCCAAGGCCGCGTTGTTTTGTTTGCTTGGCCAGGCCCCTGATTTTCCATGGGAAACCGTCAAGCATTGGGCCATTTCACGGGCGCCCCTGGCAGTTGCCTAGCGTTCTAAGCCCACGTCTCTTTGGACATCATTTTGCCTTCCCAGGCTTACGAAATACGGACTAGACTCCCCCACACATATTTGTGTGCGTGTGTGGGGCAAACAAGTGAGATGGAAAAAGGTTCCTTCTATTTTCCTCTGGAGTCGCTGTCAACAAAAACACAGTATGCTGGTGTGAGTATGCCAACATCAAGGCATGGATGCCCAGCTGGGAGGTTCGTCGACGTTTGAGTTTTTTGGTTGCGGGAGAGTTGGCCTAAGCAACAAACAGAGGGAAAGTGAGACCAGTGCTTTCATGGCCACCACAGAGATTCGATGCAACGCATCGCATTTCCCGAGGTGAAGTAATGTTGACTCGGGGTTCTACTTCGACCCGGGTTCCCAGCACTGAGTGTTTTTCAGTGTTTTGAATTTGAGAAACCGTTTCACAGATGTCCGGTGCTTCGGTACAACCTTACCCGCTGGCAACCTTGGAGCCCCATACTCCCAAAAATACATGATTTGGTGCCCCTTTTGGTGTGTGTGTGTGTGTTTACCGGGGGAAGCGAAGCAGCACCGCCAACTTTTGAGGCTCCCCGATTTTGGGAGGCGCAAACCCACCTTTGGGCCAGCTAACAGGTCTCCAGCGGGTTACGAGGATCCGGATTCTGGTCAAGCCCCGGGTTCCGCGAGGAGAAGAACCGACAGAAGTTCCTGCAGCGCCGAAGCAACGGCGAGATCCGTCGGAACCAGGCGAGAGAAAACGGGGGGGTGGGGGGCGGGTAGATGGCAAGGACTTTCGCTTCCTCACAAGCCTCGTTTTCGACTTGAAGAGAAGTGGTCCCAGATTGAAACCAAACGGGCAGTTCGATTAGTTTGGTACAATGGCTGCTCACCAAAGGGTGTATGTGTATATGCCTTCTCAAACACACACGACATGAGTCGGCGGCAAATACTGTGGATGAACTGGAATGATTTGATTCCCCTGTGAATGCCAACAAACCATTGACAATGGTTGTCCATGCTTTCAAAGAGGTGCGGATTTCGTCCATCCACGGTTCCCTGGGGCAACACCTTTATTGATCCGGGGTCTCACAACAACACCGGCGCTTCCCTTTTGACGAGTGGGCAAGGCGTCTATTGGGCTTCCACCTCATGAATTAACCCCCCCATCCCCATGCCCGACTATCTCAAGTTAAAATCTGCCTCCTACCTCCCGCCAATTAACGGGGAACCTGACGTTGGGAAACCCTTCAAAGGAAAATGGACCCATGACCATTTGTGAAAGTTTGGGTTTGGGGTTTGGGGTATAGCCCAGCGGGCTGAGCAGCATGGCGCTCGGCGCCTTGCCTGAGGACCTGGTGGCAATGGTGAAGCAATGCCTCTGAGAACTCGCCAAGGACGGGAGTGCGGTGTACTTCACTGGAAGTCAGGGTGGCAAGCCGGACTATGAAATGGTGAGTGGACTGCTCCTGGCGAACGCTGCGAATGTTGCGGCCTCAGTTCGGCAGTGGCGCACATCCGAATTAGCGGAAGAGCATGATTTGGCAGGCGGCAGCCATGCCCAGAGACGCCAGCGTGGAGGGATTGAGCGACTGGATAGATGAGAAGCACGGCCCGATGCGTGACCAGGCGACGTGGTTTGTGCAATATCCTTACTAAATGAGATTCAACAGTCCAGATAAATTGGGCGGGACATCACATTTGGATATTTCGGAGGCCTGAGGCTTCAAACGATGAGGCTTTAAAAGCCCAACATTGTGAGGCTTGGGGGACTCCAGGGCTACCATCTCCAGAGTCTAGATTTATCATCCGCAAAAGGCACCAACACCTGTGTCCTTGGGTGGTATTTTGTTTCACACATGTACATATACATAAAGATAAATAAATATAAATATATATATGTATGTGGCAGCGAAGGGAATGCCGAGTCAGAAGGCAAGCGACGCTGCGCACTCGGCTCGCCACGGCTCAGTCCGTGTCATCGCAGGGCAACGTCCTTTGGGAAGTAGACCCAGAGCCGCACAGCGGTGACAGCGAAAGGATGGCCGCCGCCTCATTATCTGGTTATTTTGCCATGGTTGCGACTTGACAAACATGCCAGCGGTATGGACGTTCAAAGCCAGCAGCGTGTATATATACATCCTTATGTATAATATACAACATACCATGTTGTCAGGTCAAGCGTGACAACACATCTATGGCAGCGAAGGGAATGCCGAGTCAGAAGGCAAGCGACGCTGCGCGCTCGGCTCGCCACGGCTCAGTCCGTGTCATCGCAGGGCAACGTCCTTTGGGAAGTAGACCCAGAGCCGCACAGCGGTGACAGCGAAAGGATGGCCGCCGCCTCATTATCTGGTTATTTTGCCATGGTTGCGACTTGACAAACATGCCAGCGGTATGGACGTTCAAAGCCAGCAGCGTGTATATATACATCCTTATGTATAATATACAACATACCATGTTGTCAGGTCAAGCGTGACAACACATCTATGGCAGCGAAGGGAATGCCGAGTCAGAAGGCAAGCGACGCTGCGCGCTCGGCTCGCCACGGCTCAGTCCGTGTCATCGCAGGGCAGCGTCCGTCGTGAAGTAGACCCAGAGCCGCACGGTGACAGCGAAAGGATGACCGCCGCCTTGGGTATGTTGCCATGGCTGCGACTTCACGAACGTGCCAGCGGTATGGACGTTCAAAGCCAGCAGCGTGAGCGGTCGACATTGCTCACGCAAGACTGGGGGCGCCCGCGAAGAGAGCGCGACTGAAGGAGAAGGCGGCGCCCCATGGCGGCGGGAGCGCGGCGGCCCCAGCAGCGCGTGTAGTTGTTAACATATTTACACGCTGACGCGACACAGCCGGCCACCGGGCACCTTGCCCTTCCCATTCTTTCAGTTCCTTTCAGTTCCCTTCATCTGTAATCTTTTCTTTGAATCCCCGTTGTTTTCGGGATTTCAACTTCCCTGTTTCCGTGCATTTCCCTTCACTTCGTTTCATTTCGCTTCATTTCGGTTTCAGCCCCCGTCATTTCCTTGAATGCCCCTGCATTGCCTCTTCATGCGCAGTCCTTTCTCTTTTCTTTTCAGAAGGGGTCGTCATGGGGGCTGAGTTTTTTCAGATTCCTGGGGGCTGAGTTTTTCAGATTCCTGGGGCTGAGTTTTTTCAGCAAAAAAAAGGAAAAAACAAAAAAACACCGCCCATCATCTGCATCTGCTAGTTCAGGGCCATGGGTCTGTTTTTTTGTACTTGTTGGCTTTTTGTTTTTTTTGTTTTTTGGTGCCTTTGCCCATAAACACCAAGAAAACCAAAAAACAAAACAACAATAAAACAAAAAACCAAAACACAGCCCATCATCTGAGGACAATACTTTGTTGATGCTTTCTTGATGCAAGCTTTCTTGATGCAAGACATCAATAATATGATGAGATGTGTATCAACAGAACATAAGCCTCTTCCAAGATATTCTGCAGGTAACTCCAGGTAACTGGAGATAACTTATCTCATCTCTCATTTCATCTTCTGCAGGAAACATCTCATCACAAGCAATTGCTTGTGGCTTGTGTCTACTTGAATCTATTCTGAACAGCTTTACTGTTGCAAGAGCTCTTCAGCAACACGAATAGCTGCAGAGAATCTTATTCCAAAGCTCTTATTCCAAAGCTGAACAGCTTTATCCAGAGAATGTTATTTGCATCTGCAGATATCGTTGCAGGTGCTCATCTTTGCATCTTGTGCTTCTTGAGCTCAAGCAACTAGATTGGAGCTGTGCTCCAATTGCTCCAGCTCATATGCGCTAAATATGTTTGTGTTAGCTGTCTTTTCTCAAATTGAAATATTGAACATCCAACTGTAAAAAGAGCTGGGTCTTGCAGCTGAAAGCTGCATAGATCAGCGATATCTTACGTTTCTTCTGATTTCATATGCATGGCAAGCTGTGCTTGCCATACTTACGTGTTTCAGAATTGCAACACAACAATATTATTTGTCCCAAACATACATCTGCTTGCAGATTGCTAAGCATACGTCTTCCAAAATATTGCATACGTATGCAAATTGTGTTGAAGATTTGTGCCAAACAGACGTCTTCCAAAAGTTAGCACCCTGAGGTTTATATATTTGGCATGCGTAAGCATGCCAATTATCCAAAAATAAGCTACAGACACACGTTTGCTAAATATTTGTGTCCAACAATGCTAGTTGTGCAAAATAGTTCTCAACAGGCTGTCTTCTGTGTAGCTTGAAGCTAGCTCATTTTCCAGGTCTGGATGCATCTGAGTCTTCATTGGATCGGAAATGAATCTGTGCTTGCATGTCATCAGCAAAAAACAAAAAACGCACCCCAATAAATCTAAGAGGTCATGGGTCTTGATCTTATATTTTTGGTATGTTTTAGTGTTTTTAATGGAAAAACTCAGCCCCCAACAATCTGAAAAACTCAGCCCCCAAGAATGTGAACAACTCAGCCCCCAAAAATCTGAAAAACTCAGCCCCCAGGAATCTGAAAAACTCAGCCCCCATGCCGACCGGCCCTCTTTCTTTTTGGTTCCCGTGACTTCAACCTCGAGTCCCATTTCACGTCAGTTTCCTGCACATCTTTTCATTTCCCTGCAGTTTCTCTTCGTTTCCCACAATTTCTTTTTGTTCCCGTCCTCCGGTTCCCTTCGCGTTCTCCATGCCCCTGCAGTTTCCATGTTAGTTTCTCTGCAGTGCCGTCTTCATTTTCTTGCACTTCCCTTCACTTCCATTAAGTTCACTTTGATTCACTCCCGTTTCTCTGCATTTCCCCTTCGTTTTCTGCAATTTTCTGAATGTTGCTTCATCCCCTTGCTTCGCATCGCCAGCATACATAGCATCATCTGCGTCATCCGGGATGATGCTGGCAATGCTTGGGGTGTTGTCCAGCTCATTTCCCTGCATCTCCTTTCGTTTCCGCTGATTTCCTCGTCACTGTCTGTCATTTCCCTTCGTTTCCTCTTCATTCCCCCTCCCTTCCCCTGCATTTTTCATGCCTTTCCCCGAACTTTCCCCTTCGTTTCCCGTTCAGTTCACCTTCGTTTCCCTGTCATTTCCCTTGATGTTCTGTCATTCCCGCTTCCTGTCCTCTGCAGGTTCCCTGCACTTCCCTTGCATTTCCCCTTCTTTCCCCGTTTTTTTCCATGCATTTCCCTCGAAATTATCGAGACACAATGTTTTGTTTTCACGTTTTCGCAAAAGCGCTGCCACAAAACACCGCGTTTTTCAATGTTTTGTGCAACAGGATGCAGAAAACCCGATCCGCCAAAGAGTCGGCCGGGGGATTCGAGCCTGGGAGCTCCCCGAAAAGGATGTTTAGTAGAGCGTCATCAAATTGCCGCGCGGTCCTTGGGGGACGTCGCCCCCCCCCTAAGCCCTACGTATTAGACGTCGGGCGGAGGGGGGTAAGGGGGGGGTTATCCTCTATCCTCTATTTCCTTCATTAGGTGTCCGACACGCCGAACAAAGTCGGCGGGCACACACATACATATATATATATATATATATATATATCCTTAATTATCATGTATCCTTGTATATAATATACAACATACCATATTTTCTGGGCCTGCGGCCTCTGGCCGGCTACGCCTCTTTGAAGTTATACCATGTCATGTGCTATGATATGGTTGGTTAGGTTACTTTCTGGGCCTCAGCCGGGCCCCAACCCAGAAGGCTGACATGGGGTCGCGCGCGCGACATCATCATCATCATCAGCGGCGTCATCATCATCATCATCATCATCATCATCCGCATCACCATCATCATCATTCTTCATCATCATCATCACCATCATGATCATCTTCATCATCCTCAGCAGCATCATCAGCATCATTCATCCTCATCATCGTCATCTTCCCGTAGTCTTCCGTCATCTTCGTGTAGTCTTCCGTCATCTTCCCGCAGTCTTCCGTCATCTTCCCGTAGTGTCAGCTTCCCATAGTCTTCCGTCGTCTTCCCGCAGTCTTCCGTCATCTTCCCGTAGTCTTCCGTCATTTTCCCGTAGTCTTCCGTCATCTTCCCGTAGTCTTCCCGTCGTCTTCCGTCATCTTCCCGTAGTCGTCTGTCAGCTTCCCGTCATTTTCCCGTAGTTGTCCGTCATCTTCCCGCAGTCTTCCGTCATCTTCGCGTCATCTCCCGCAGTCTTCCGTCATCTTCCCGTCAGCTTCCCGTAGTCTTCCGCCATCTTCCCGTAGTCATCATCCGTCATCTCCCGCTGTCTTCCTCAGCTTGCCGTCATCTTCCCGTAGTCTTCCGTCATCTTCCCGTAGTCATCATCCATCCTCACGGTTAGAGGTTAAGGTTAGAGAGGGTTAGAGGTTAGGGTTAGAGGTTAGTGGTTAGGGTCGGTTAGGGTTAGAGGTTAGGGTTAGAGGTTAGGTTAGGGTTAGAGGGTTAGGGTTAGACGTTAGGGTTAGAGGTTGGGCCCATAGTCTTCCGTCATTTTCTCGTCATCTTCCCGTAGTCTTCCGTCGTCTTCCCGTAGTCTTCCGTCATCCCGTACTCTTCCGTCATCTTCCTCATCTTCCCGTAGTCTTCCGTCATCTTCCCGTAGTCTTCCGTTGTCTTCCCGTAGTCTTCCATCACCATCCGGATCCTCAGGTTTTTCCAGGTCCACCGCTGAAAGTTCATAGAACTTTTGTCTGGGGGATTGAAGGGGAAGGTCCCAGCGGAAAGAGGCGGTCAAACGTGCAGGTTCTCATGTGTCTTTTTTTACGACCTAGCTGTTTCTTATGGAACTCGGGGGGCGGGGGCCGGGGTTGTAAGAATATTGCCCGACTTGGTTAAACAAACAAGCCCTCCCTGTGGTTTCCAAAATGAACCAGTTGCTTTACACAAGTTTGCCCACTGGTCTTTGATCCGTGGTTTACCAGACATTTCTACTTTGTCCCTTGGTTTGAAACAGTTGCCCTTGGGATCTGGATGACCCCTGTTCAAGGATCCACGGAACTATCCCCAAACCGCTTCCTGAGGGATCCATTTGTTTATGACGAATCCGGATGCTGCCAATATCAAAGGGGGCTCATTGAATCCGTGAATCACTGAAGGAACCCAAGGCTGGGTCCCCCAGTGCCCGACCTCTCACCCCTTGTTTGGGGGGGGTTCGGGACCTACTTGGTCCTTTAGTCTAACCTCTCTGGAGGACCTAGTGAAGGAACGCGAGGGGTTAGTCATTATTTATATATCAATTTATCAAAAAATACAAAAAGAAAAGCTGTACGGTGTTCTGTAAATTTCAAGGGGATCTGTACATGGTTATTTTTGGGAAACAGTTTACATTTTTTGCTTTTTGTGGTTTAGTGGTTGAAATCCAATTATAGTAAATTAGGGGTCCATGTTCCAAGGACACTCCAAGAGCTCGGGTTTCGGGTGGCGCCGCGCCAGTGGGTGCCGTGTCAAGGCGCCGTGTTACGTGGGACGCGCCCAGGCGGCCGGCACCATGGGCGTGGCGCTCGTCTGGCACCGGCACGGCCCCCGGGCGTAGCTTTCGCCATCGGAGGTTTGTCCTCTTTGGTTGGGTGTGCTTAAAAATGAGATCCCATTCCAACCAATAAGAATACGTTCCAAAATGGGTGGTGAATTCACCCACCAACCAAAATGGTACCATAATGGTACTATTTTTGTGCCACTTTCAAATCGAGGGCGATTCCTGGTTTAGATAGGGGTATGTATGCCCCATTTACCAGGGAAACCCATCTACTTGTCCAAAAGGCCACCTATGGTCGGAGGGATTGGTTGCACCGAGGTCGGCCGAGAAATCGGCGCTGGGATCTCGTTGTGGGTCTTGGTTTACTCATTGTGTCGCGTTCTTTTGACGTTGTTTGTTCTGTCTTCTTGTTTTTTTGCAGGGGGGGGGGACCGTTTTGGTTGTTTGTAAAGGGAAACTCTAACAGCACACCTCCCCTCCAAGCACAACCTCCATTTTCGGAAGGTCCACAGTTTGCGAAGACAACAAAGTTGTCGCTCAGTTCAATAGAGGCACTTTTTGGTTTTTGAGGAACTCTAGACAACATGTTAGATGCCCCAACTGCGGATTCCACCAACTGTTGCACTCTTTTGCCACTCTTTCAGCACTGAATCCCTTCCCCTCAGGGACTTTATTTGGGGGCTACCGTGTTGGGGTGGGGGCCACCGTATTCCTGGAAAATTATTGGACACATTTGTCCCCTCTCTCCTCCCGGGTGGAAGACGAGAAAAGTCACTGGCCAAGCCCACGCCAAGCCAATGCAACAGATGCGAGTCGTGAGGTACGTGGACGGGGAGTGCCGACAGAAGTCCCTGGACATCGCGCGGCTCAAAGTGGACCCAGTCCCGAAGCCGCCGGTAGAGGCGAAGCTGGAGGGAAGGGCGTGACTGTGTGTCTGTGTGTCTGTGTGTCTGTTTGCCTGTCTGTTTGAGTGTGGGTTGTTTGGGGGGTCCGGGGGGGGGGGGGGTTAGAGGGAAACCAGAAGGAAGACCGAAGCAATGGGTCCCTTGTCCGAATCCCGATGTGGACACATACCCGCACAATCAGAACAGTTCCATTGGAACCGCTACTGTACAAGCCTACAGGGCCCACTTCTTGGTAGGTTCATACCTGGTGAGGCCATGTGGCCATTTTGGGGGCGGATGAACACCCATGTACCACCTATTTTGATGTTCACCAGGGGTTTCCTGGGTTTTGACCCCTACAGCCACATGAATATGAAGCCCTTTACCATCTTAGAACCTCAAGTCAAGTTTTTGGGCACTCCATTGGCTTCTAGGGAGAGAGCCACTTGGACATAGCAATTTTTTGGGCGCAGCAGCGTTCCTTTGGGAGCGGTTTCAGGGCCGAGCTTGCAACGCCAAAGAAGATGTCCAAGTTGTCTTGAACCTCATGGTTGTGCTAGAAGGAGAATGTTGAGGCCCCCAAAGCGCGGCGAGTCCCTCAGTTGGGGAGTTCCATTGATCCAGAGAATTTGGTGGTAGATACTCTTGACTCTCCTTTGAAACGATAAAGTCGAGAGCTGCCACTGGAATGGGACATCCACAAGAGGCGCCGCAAGAGCCGGAGTTGATCATCGAGGAGTGCTAGGCAATGGAAGGGTTCCAGTTCCGCCATCCATCGAATCCTTTCGTGTACAGGACACACTCAAAAGGCTCAACCTCCAAAAGGGCCTCCTTTTTCTGCCTTTCTGCCCTTCGGGTCACGCAACTGGAAGCTTTTATTGGTAATCCCTCCCACACAAGGTTATACTGGGAATGATCCAAGAGGGTTTCTGGGGACTGATCCCAAGCAACGCCACTTCACTTTGGGCATTTGGGACCGGTGGGTGCTTCCACAGCAGCGCCCAAAACCGCAAAAAGTCCATTTGTGTAGGCCATTATTGTAGGTGATTCTACCTGGTTTAGCAGGGGATTATAGGATCATACGAACCCCTGTATAACCTTTAACCTTTGTAAACATGTCTGTAGAACCCAAATCATACTGTTTGTTGGGCGCTCAAGTGGGCTGAGAACCATTGCTCGCTCACTCGACCTTTCCTGCTCAATCCACGGAAGCGAGTCATCCCCCAAAATGGTGTCCCTTCGGTTTCCCTTCAGAAACAAGCCCCAACTTTGTGCTGTTATGCAGCCCCTTTGGCCGGCCTTGTGCCCAATTCTTAAGCGAGCCCTGCTGCCCTTTGGACAAATCAGGCGCATTTAAACGTGCCGCTGATTCTTTAGGGCAGATGCCGCCCGTTTTCAACTGCAACCTGCTCGAAATTACCGACAAGACCACCGATTCCGGGGGGGAAAACGAGCATGTAGGCCCTTCGTTCGGGGATCCATTTGACGCTTCTTGGGCAAAAAGATTGTTTTCAAATGGCTGTGGGTCAATAGGTACCACAAATGGAACCCTGTTAAATGGAACCCTGTTAAATGGAAAGAACCTGCGGTCCCCTGTTGGTTTGATCTTGACCCATACACAAATAAAGGTGCGGAGTGTAGGTTTGGGGCTGGAAGCTTGTCCTCCAAAGCTCTGGGACCCGTGGTTCGGGGGCAGCTTCCAGGGCCCAGGCTAGTCCGGCGTTCCGCTGGTTTGCTTTTGTTGGTTGGTCGTTTAAAGGGACACCCCACAGGAACACCCTCATTTTTTTTCGGGAGGGGGGGGGGGGAAACGCCCTCTGTTTTTGGGGAAGCCCCGTTTGAAAGCCCATGGCTCTTCCACCAACTCCACCGGGTTCGTGGCTCGGAGGCCGCGATCTGATGATCCGAGGATCTGTCAGTGGTGTCCCTGAAACCGGCGGCAACTCGGGTCGCCCCGTTGGTTTTGGTGCTGAATCAGGAACCCCTCGAAAAAACAGGAGAAAGCAGGAATGTGCCCTCTGAAACAAAACCGCCCTCCCTTCTTGAGTGGTTCATGCTTTTACTTGCGACTTTGGCGAGCTCACCGATCCGGGGTAGTGGTTTCCCTTGGATTTGCACATGGGGGCCCACTTGTCTTGTTCTATGGTCGTGGACAGCCGGCAACCCTGGCCAATGGTGACGGCTGGTTTCTGAGGGCTTTGTTGGTGGCCAGGCTTCTTGCACAAGTGATTGTTGCGAATATGTGGTCCTTTCTGGAGAGGTCAAACATCGCATTGTTCTCCACTGAAATGCTGCAATGTGGCGGGGCACATGCGCCGAACACTGACAATAAAAGCCCTTTTGGCCAGTCCAACAGGTCGTTCATGCCAGGGTTGGTGGAGTTGATGCCATTTAGGTCGCCATTCATTGATTTGGATCCTTGGGATTTGAGTCCCTGGCTCTAACGGGCAAACACACCCCTCCAAACCACTGGGCAACACAACGACCCCCGAACCTCCAAACCAATCGGAGGGGAGCTGAACTGGCCGCCTGGTTTTGGGACCTCGCTGCGCATCGCGCGAGCCGAGCCGCGCGAGGCCTTTCCCCCCAGCCAAGAGCTCGCCTTTTCAAAGGCGTCTCCTCTAACTCTGCCCAAAGCCGGACAAACTGGGCGGTGCCCAGCCAAAGCGTCAAACAGGATGATTCTCCGTTGGCTGATTTTTGACCAACATGCCCTTTGCCCATGTTGGGTTCCCCTTCTTTAGTCATGGCTTCAAAAGGCTTACCTGTTATTTTCAGGTCCTTTGGGCAAGTGAGCTAAGCATGGATGGTTTTGGGGCTCCATGTGTCGGATCGCTTGATCACAGGTGTCCGTGCTAGGGCCCATTTGATTAAGTACGGATGGATCCGATTTGTGTTCGCTTCCTATACTGGAATTCATTTGGCCCAAAAGGACACCTTACTTGGCAGGCTCTTGGGATGGGTCCCTGGAAATCAACGTTTGCAGCAACGCTGCGTTGCATGGAATAGGGCATCGGTACAGATCCGCGATGCTCGCCCGCTGCTAAAAGCAGCGCCGCTCGATTTGACCATTCGCGGGAGGTGGCAGACAGTTCCTGATGGTTTTTTGCTTGGGAACCTATCATTGTTGGAAACACACACAAATTGTTAGTTCCTGATGCCTTGTTCAGAATTTCTCTGTTGGTTTTTTGCTATCATTGTTGGAAAGACACACAAATTCTTCCCAGGGCCTTGAAGCAAATGGAGATGTCTTAAAGGGAACAGCTCAAACCGGGAAGGAAGGCGTTCGCTCGCCGAGGAATCCGTCGGAGAAAGTTTCTTCGCTGCCGAGATCGAACCTCCCGCGGCCTGGGGCTTTAAACCTGGACGGGTCAAAGGCTGACTGTATACGTCCATGAACGGAGCCACTGGGCTTGGAAGATCTAATGGGGAAATACATGTTGGCGTTGGTGTGTATATGTACATATACACATACATCATATATATATATATATGCATTATACATATATATATATATATAACTGGGTGTTCTCCTAATTGGGACCCCTAAAATCGGTTGTCTTTCCAGCCAACAGCTATGGAAGCGGACAGAGGGGTGCCCAGAAGGAAACTAGCGTCTAAAACCCTCATCAGCGTCCTTCTGATGGTGGGAACCATTGATTGCAAACTGTTCGAGAGTTCGGGGAGAATGGGAACGTCTCCCTTTTAACCTGTGGGGTTGGTCAAATAATGGGGCCAGACTTCGAGGGATTCCCATGGGTTCAGACGTGCACGCGTAGCCTTTGGCGGCAAGACTCTGAGACTCTGCCCGACCTGCGCCGGGATCCCAGGCATCAGACATGCGACCAAGGGAGTGGAATGCGCATGCGAGTTGTTTTTGGAACCCGAGAAGGTGGCAATGGCACCAGAGTTGGAACTAGAGTGGGAACTAGAGTTGGAACTAGAAGGTTTCTGATGGAACTGGAGTCGGAACTTCAAAAGCAGAAGAGAGGCATCAAGGCGCCCATGTCGGGGCATGAAGTCAAGGCGCTGCAGGTCAAAGGCCATGCGCCATTACACTCTCTCCACAGGACTCGCGCGTTCCGAAGGGTCAGCCCGGCCGGAACCCAACCCCAAAAAAAGTGGAAAAGGGCCGCGCGGACCGCGCGCGTGCGGCGTGTGGCTGTTGGGCGTTCGAAAGCCCGCGCCCGCTGGCTTTGGGTCGGCGGTTTGGATCGTTCACGGCATCCGATCGCTAGACCTTCCTTTCGACTTTGGGGGGGGGTTTCACACGCAGCCCAAAGGCCCCAGACACCCCCAGTGATGCCAACCTGAATTTTGTTGGTCTGGCTTTTGGAGGGTTTTCCTACCCCTTCCACATCAACTGCCCAAATGAACGGCGGCAAAAGCAGCCATGGCTCATGAAACCAACCGTCGTCCAATCAGTCGAGCCCAAGAGTCGGCGCCCCCTCGAACCGAGCTCTTTGGATTTTCCTTCCAGGGAAGGTTCGCGCTCCTTTTCTCTCCAGGTGCTGTTTCCAGTGGCAGGTCGCTCTGTTTTGTGGCCAAGCGCTGTTTCCAGGTGTGTTGCCAGGTATGTTGCCAGGTTTTACATGCTTCCCTCTCACCATTCAGGAACTGGAAGCACTGGTGCAAACACATGAACACCATGGCGTTTGAAGCAGCCTCCTGTTGGTTTCCTTTGAAGCTGACGCGGTGGCAACGAACTCTCTTTTGAAGGATCTTATCTGGCCGCTGCATACCATAATCCTTGAAGCGAGGTGCCGATGACTTAGATCGCTGAGTTGGTTCAACTATGTGGATCGCCCACCTTCAGCATGCCCCCCAAAAGTTGTGTTTCCATTGCTGGGCTAGAAATCCTACACAAAGAGGTATGTGTCTAAGTAGGGAGACGCAAGAATCATGGGTGGTTTCTCTTTGGTTTTCCTTTAGAACAGCCCCGAAACGGGGGGGGGGGTGCCCAATCCAAAGAAAGACACGATCGCACGTCGGTTACTTAACAACTACTTGGTTGCTGTTGACCCCTCTGCAAAAAGAAGTACTTTTTGTGGGTTTAGTACGGAAAACCCCAAATGATTTCCCGCAAAAAGCTTTAGAGTCTAAAGATCCGTTGTCCAATAGCAGTCCAAATCGACTTGATGGTTCTCATGAAATCCTTTGAGGGCCGTCGGGAAGGAACCGGAGGATCCCTAAACCACAAGGTTGATAGAGGTCACTCCCTTCCTCACTAAGAATCAAGGAAGTTGAGGTGGGCTCTCCTGTTTAGAGAAAAGGACTGGCCCCATGTTTGGGCTAGGTGCTGTGTTGCATCCTGGCGTAAACCTCTGCGAGGTATTGTTGAAACCTCCTCGAGTCCGGCCATGTTGACCCCTCGCGAATCAACCCCCAGAGGCCAAAAGACCGGAGATGAAGCAGCTTCTCCAAGTTGGGGTATTCCAACACGCCGACTCGGAAACCATCCATCTAAACAAACAGACAGACAGACAGGCAGGCAGGCAGGCAAGCAAGCAAGCAAGCAAGCGAACAAGCAAACAAGCGAACGAGCAAACAAGCGAACGAGCAAACAAGCGAACGAGCAAGCAACCAAAAAACAAACAATCATCTAAACCCACAAACACAAAGTCATCAAAGAAACATCTAAGCCCACTTCGTTTTAAAGAGAGACAAACATAAACGATCAAACATCTACGCCTATTTTTTTGGAAAGAAAAAGGAAGCAGCATCTACTCCATCTACACCCAGAAA